AATTCTCCAGCTGTTCATCTTTCTCCTTCGCTGACTCCTGCAATTCGTCACACCCAACCGTTCCACATGCATCAACTCACCAATCCCACGCAAAATCCTCCCCGCATCTACCTTCATATTCCCGTACCCACCCACGCACACACACTAAGAGAGACACAACTCTAAAGCCTCACCTCTGCATGCTCCTGCATTTCTGTCATCTGGCGCCTCAAGCTCAGCACAGCCTCCTCCTTTTCGGCCAGCTGGCTCAGCAGCTCTGACTGCGACGATGCAGAAGGCATATTCAAGCAAGCTCAGGAGGGGTGCATGGAGGTATGCACAGAAATAATTCGTGGACGTGGCACTGGAATGCGGCTGTCGAATGGGTTTAGGCGAGGGTGCATCCAAAGAGGATGAATGTAAAAGGAATAGTGACAAGTAGGGACCAATCCAGGTCTACTCTTTGAGCTCTCGTTTGTCCCAAAGACGTACCATATGAAGAACAAAATTCACTACTGGGCTACCACCCAAGCAATTGACGATTGGTACAGCACATAAGGGGGGTTAACGAGGGGCCATGAACTGCCTAAGTCTGTCGCTGATGAACATGGCGTTGCTTGGTTGATTCTGGGATACTTACATTCCGTGCTGCCAAGGATGCAAGCTCCTCAGGAGAACCGAGTTGTAGGAAGGAATTCCTTTGCCCTTCTGATGCTTGCAAGCGGTCGACAAGCTCTTCAATTTTGGCATTTGCCTTTGCCAACTTCTCTGTCTCCGTCTGCAACAGCGTAGCCAAACCCACCAATATTTGGACCTACTGATCTTTGCAAACACATACTGTACCCGCGCAATGCCGGACAGCCCAACGGCCAACGTGTCATATGATGGCTAGTTGGTGCCTGCATGTCGGTGCTGAAACCACTGCTGACTACTGCAAGTTCTCTGGCTTCTGCTTTTTCCTTCCGTAGATATTCGAGCTCATAGCGCAGCTCTTCAACTTCTTTATCCTTCGTAGCCAAGAGCTTTCTCAGGTCGGCCTGAATGATGCCGCTCAGTCAACATAAGTCAAAAGTACGGCTCGCACATGGAATGACTGGAAACTCCAGTCACAAGCTGTATTGTTGCATTTTCAACTCCAAGAAGTCAGTGTCTGTTTGCTTACTATATGTTCGTTGAGGCGCTGAATTGCGTCTGTTGAACTCTTCAGCTTGTCCTCCATGGATACCTGATTTACATTCCAGTACGCATATAGGCCTCAATTCAGAGCTTCCAAGTAGCTAGTCAAGACTTCCATACACTCAAACTATTCGCCCAACTGTATTGCTCTGCATGGAGAAGTAGCTCTACAATGGGAGTGGGGTCGACGACGAAATAAAAGGTAAAATCATCACTCACGAACAGGGCCAGCTGCCAGGCATATCACTGCAGGTAGTCCACAACTACGACATAAGACCTCTGCTACCAATCCACAAAGCAGCACGTGGGTCAATGCCTTTACTGCATGGTTCAGGTGGACCACTTGTTCTAAGTACTTGGGTTGTGGGGGGTGCCGAAGCTTGCCTTTTCGTCCTGCAGTACCGTAGCGAGTCTTTGCTGCACTTCCAGCTCGCGCTTCGCCCCCTCTTCTGAGGTTCGCCCATCCTGCAGGTTCATAAGACTTGCAAAGAAAAATCACTTTCCCTGACCACCTATATGAACACTCAAATCACTTTCCCGCAGTTTCCTCACGACGACTGAAATTCGCGCATTTGAAACTCACTCGATCAATCTGGTGGATAGTTTGCTGCTGCATGAAGATCAACGACTCCAGCTGTGATTTTTCTTCTCGTAGATTCTGCACTTGATGCTGTAGCCTCGCCACCACCCCCTGGCAATGCTCGCTAGTGCATGCTGCGTACGCAAAACTACGTGCATTCTGCATTCATGATGATAACGCTGGGGCAAATCCGGCGGCCTATGGAGTATCGGGTTGGAAAATATGGCACGCAGCGAAATGAATATTCCCTCTACTGCTAGAAAATCCCGGCAGGTCTCGAACACGAAATCTTACCTACAAGTGGCCCTCTGTGGGTGCTGGGGAGAGAACTGGCCGTTTCTGCATCCTTCGTATAGGGGGCTTCGCTAGATAGCGAATCCTGTTGAGAGGGTTGCCAGCGGTGCACAGGCATTGATCCAGCCCTATTCGGGCCTTTTGTTCCATCTCCACTATTCTCCTGCGGCTTGCCCGTCGACCTGCTGAAGAGTTTCTTCATCTTCGGCGCCAATAGGAGCTCTGTCTCGTCCATAAAAACAAGGACGCGTTAACTGCTGCATCCGTAGAGATGCTGACGGGCGCTCAAAGTATGGGCATAATGCAGGGGAGCGCCCGGTTTAGGCAAAGTCGCAACGCATAAACTGGCTGGTTCGTGAGCACCGCAGCTGCAGATCAGAACTGGTCTACGCCCTGTTGCCAATAGAGCACTTCAAAACACCTTCTGAATGATATGAGTGCAGATCTGTGTTCACAGTGACGGCAGCAGGGTTTCATCTCAAGCGTCGCTGTTCGGCGTAATTTATACGACGACGTGGAGTTCTCATCACCCCTCCACCAACAAGTTCTGCTGATTACGTATTGTTGGTGTAATAAATGAGACTGTCTTCGGCTTAGGGAGAGACATAGCCATGTCTTGTACAGAGTTTCAAGCAATACCCGTTATGGTCCACGAATAGTCTCGAGTCAACGCGCGGTATCTCGAACACAACCGCTGAGGAAGGCCATTTTTATTCCCCTGTTGTGTAGGGAAGATATATTGAATTATTTTTCCCTCAGTAGGAAACAATAAAGCCCATGCCTTGAGTTCTATGTTTTGCTCAGCTCGCTGCCGCCGGCCCACTCGAACACGTCCTTCTCGAGCAGGGAGCGGCAGATCAGCTTATACCCTTTGAGCTGGAATAGTCGGTGTTCTCTCATTCAGGCCTCTTGTACTACAAGAAATGCTGGCGAAAACCGAAAATATTGAGCCCAATCACCCCTAGTCCCACATAGGCCCCTTGCATGGAGAAGACGACCACACCACAGGGTCTCTAGAGTACTTGTTCGCGCACATGGGGTAAGCGTCCCCTCATTTCCATCCCTCTTATATTATAGCAAAAGTGATGCAATATATAGGCAAAGGGCATTTTTCATCGACCTTTACAAGCGTCACCGTAATGCTGTTCTTCGCACAAGGGCAAGCTTACGGCTCATGAGACACTAATATTCCTAGGTTACTCACTCCACTGTATGCAGTGTAGTTTCATCGATACCAGATTTCGCCAAAGAGGCTTATGCTGGAAAGACCCCCAGACTCCAACGGAGCACATCCTAGAATCCGCGCCAACAGACACACCCCTGTGACTGGTTGGCCATAAGCTATTGCCCCATCGGCCCTATATCTAGTCATCCTTATCTAGTCATCCTTATTCGCAAAGCAAAATGGATGTGGCCTGCTATTCAACAGGCAAACGTGACTTCATGAGAGATGAAGCAGCATGCAGTGTTCGAAAACTAATGAGCGCGTGTTCGACAACTGACGAGCGCAATGCTGGAGTTTCTTCGGCAATTTAGCCATGCATGGTCTTATCTGTGAAGGGGTTCGGTGCTTCTGCAATAAGCAAAAACCTGCATGAGGTGTGCTTTTTGAGAAAAAGCAGAAACAGATCATGCGAAGAAAGCGACGACCCGCGTGATGCCGCCAAGTGCATTTCCACAATGGTTTTCCGACAGGTTTCAACATTCGGCCTGCGCCAACTGATCACCTGTTTCTCCACCCACCAGGTATTGGGATCCCCGTATGCTGTCGTTGTCTTGCAATGAATTCTGATCCGATGCCTCGCATTATGTAGTGCATATTCACCCCAGCACCCTGCTGCTGGTTTGGAACAGCCCGCTGGAGCTGGTGTGACTGGCTTGCAAAATATTGCTGGGGAACTGAGAGTGGGTGCTGCTGAAAGCTTGTCTGTTGCGTATGGCCGTATAAACCGGGATTTCTGGGAGGCAATACTGGTGGCTGCCCCAATATACGGGTTGGCCACTGCAGGCCTCCAAGGTCTGCATGGCCCAAGATAACCGGTTGATGCTGTACGAACACGTTGCCTCCGTACGATTGCAGACCCTTTGAATAGCTCTCTGGAAGCGAAGAGCGTCGCGGGATTTCGCAGCCAATCCCAGGTGCCCATTGTCTTCCTGGCTGCTGTGATGCACTGAGTTGAAACTGCTGTGGGTGCCCCGGAAGCGTGCCTCGAGCCACGCAATAGGGTACGAAATTCTGTGCATTGCGTGAGTCCCTAACCGCATCTCCTTTGTGTTGGCTTACCATATCCAGCGAACTCCCCAGAATACGGGGTGCAGCCGAGGAAGGCAGCTGCGGCTGGTATACTTGCCCATACGGCTCTGCTTGTGCGGCGGCGGTAGCCAGGCCAGGACTTCCTTTGTTCACGTCAATTTGAGGCCTCAAATTAGCGACTGCTCGACGATCCTCTTGACTAGTTTCTTGAAAGTGAGGTGTTATCTTCAAACCCCTGCTGGTCACATCGCGGGAGGGGAGCGCTGACTTCTGGCCGAACTTAATGGTGTGGTCTTCTGGCACAACTTCTGCTTCAGTGTCCTTCGGCCTGCCTCCAGAGGATCCTTGTGTTGTAATATGTACAATATGTGTCCCACTTGACCTCGAAGGATAGAGATCCGCCGGCGCCGTGTTCTCTGTCCGCTGTGGGAGATTGGGGCTCACTAAGACGCCCTTCACGCTGGCGTTCCTCCCGGCAGCAGCGTGTGGAGGAACAGTGGCTGCACAGCTATCTGAGATGAGGCCCAGGTATTCCTCTTGGGCAGTTGGTTTCTGGTGTTGTACCGGTAAGGATGTAGATGTATTTTGCGACTGCAGGTCGTTTGGAATGCCAAACGAGTGATCTGGGGAAGCTACGTGTGCCCCTGTCGAAGTACGCGGCGTCAGGTCTTGGAAAAGCCTTGTCTCACGCTTATGTTCTTTTGTTTCGTTTGCAGAACTTTCTACAGACTGTCTCTTGATAATATCTTTGCATGTAGGTAGCACGGTTCCGCAGGTCATACGACTCGGAAGTCTGCTGTTTGGAAGTGACCCAATGAGGGAGGGAGGCTGCGTGGCACGCAAGTTGCCCGACGTGTGCCGATGCACTGGTGCTCCTCCGTTATCCAGAGAGATTTTCCTCTGCGCGATGGAACGCCTCGAGGGCGAGCTGAAAGACGCTGGCTTGGAGAGGTGGTCCTGGGCCTCGCACGCTTTCTGCCCATGATCTTCCTTGCACTGCATTGTCTGCCTCGAACTGTATCTCCGTGAGGCTGCAGGAGGAGTAGCTGTTGAGCTCTCCTTCTTACAGGATGACGTTTCTCCGCGAGCACTGTTCCTTGTGAAGGCAGCTTGAGACTGGTGTCTGCGGTAGGAATCCCGGCACGCCGATCCTGCTGGTCCCTGGAGAACTATCTTTCCGACAGGCAGTGGGGGTAAAGGGTGTCTCGCACCGGTTGGTGTAGGCTTTACGGTGGAATCAACCGGTTTCATTTTACGATCAGCAGCCGCCTGTAATCGTGAACGCGTTGCTACTGATGCTGGTCGGGATGCAAGCTTGTTCCCTTCCTTGGGGGTGCTGGCACCCTCACCACGCCCCTTACTGTCCCCTCGTTTGGCAAGAACTGAACTGTTTGGAAAACCCATTCTAAATGAAAGAGGCTCTGTCTGGTGACGCATTTGAAGGGGCGTGCAGTAGGTTGTATCATATACCGCTCCTATTCGCAGTTTTGACGTGCGCTCCCGTCCCCACTTATCATCTGCACTATCTGCTTGGCCGCTGGCTCTCTGTATTCGTTTGATCGTTTCCGGCGTCTCCTCGACACAGCGCAACGCGGAAGCTGCCTCTCCTGCTTTCACTGGAGGTTTCGACACCGTGCTCTCCAGGACGTTCTCGGATAGCCGTAAATCTCGAGATGAAGGTGGGCAAGATCCGCACGCATCCGAGCCGCGCTGAGCGGCTGACCTTGAAAATGAGATTTCCTTTGGCTTCAGGGCATGAAAAAGAGCCCAACGGGCCAAGGGCTGATCTTCTATGCCAAGAGCTTCGATTTGCTTCCTCAATCTTGCTTCTGGCCAGCGGCGGGCCAGTAACGCAACAAGTGTGTTCCCTTGTTCAATGAGCCGCCTGAGCCATAGATAGAACAGCAAAGTCACGACGATTCGGCTTTATCTCTTTTGCATAGGCCCTATTGCCGCTGCTAATAAACACAGCAAATGGCCTTCGTACCTAAGCTTTATCTTGAATCGAGGCATCACATCCTCAACAAGGGCAGTCAGGCAGTGAAGCTGCGCGAAAAAAACCAGCTTTCTCCCGGTAAACGCTTCAGACTTCAGATTGGCATTTAGGGACACACGACTGAACCAGCTAGGAACCTGAAAAGCCTTACCTGTGTTTGTGCGTGGTAGAGCAACCTCGAAAAATATTCTTTGTCTTCGAGTGCATCCCGTGCGAGAGACCGTGCGGCTTGAGCATACACCTTCAACAAAGCACCGACATTCCTGGTTATCCACGGATGAAAGCTTTGCAACACAGTATCTGGCCTCACCGCACTTAATAGAATACGGAAGTAAGCACTGCAACGGTGCACTAAACCGACGAACCTCAGCAGCAGTAATCCGCTTGCTGTTGACGGCGCTTTCCCTTTGGAGGCGAAGGTACTGAGATGCATGCGCAAAAAACACGTTAAGCTTTACCTTATTGAGGAGCTGTGAGGCTATTGATGTAATCAATAGCTTCACAATCATGCGGCTAGCATATCCCAGCTCACCTCTTCCTGAAAGACTGCATAGTGTTTCCTCTCTTCTGCCCGCAACCCTGGGAGTCATTCAAAACGAAGCACATATGCGTACGAGGTCATCAGAGAGCAGACCATGCAGGCAAACTACTTGTGAGGTGAATGGGATTTTTTTCTCTGCGTGGCAGGGTATGCATACGTTGTTCTTCAGCAAGCTCTTCCTGAACTAGCCACAATGCCTCTTCCAGATCGTGAACTGCTTTAAGAGGCCCGCCACTACTCTCCATCTCCGCCAAAATATTATCATTGCATCCCTGAAAAACAAACATCCAAAAGTTCTCGGCGATAGGAGCAAAACTTGCAGCCTTGTCAATACAAAAGCGACTTGTTCCATCCGCCTCAGGTGGTCGTGTTGTCTGCTAGCCTGTCGTCTAGAGAGCGAGCTAACGGCGCACCGATGAAGCGGGAAAGGTTCCCTCAGATTCCAATTTCTTTTCAGTTTCTGTATCTTCTCCACTGTATTTATCGAGTTCGACAGCAACAAAATCTGGTGTGATGCTCTTCCTTCGCGGTTCGTCAGCAGCGGAGAGCCTAGTAGGACGAGCGTTGGCACTTTCTCCTGCACAGCCTAGTTTATCGTCAATTAGGAGAGTTTCAGTATGGGGCTCCATTGTTATATGCGCTCTACGGGTCAACGAGGTGACCGCACACCACATCCAAGGTCTCTACAGCAATGCGAAGGCTGTGTTGTCTCTCCTTAGCAAATATGCTAGGTCCTCTGGGAACGCAATGCATCTGAAACTAAAAAAGGCACATAAGCAGTAAGATTTGGGTGAGTTGCCCCAGATAGGGTAGGAGAGCACAAGGTCTCGAGAAGGCGGGCCAACTTCGACGTCACCTAAACACGACCAACAGCGGGCGAACCAATCGGTGCACCACAGGTGAGCCATCTAAATACTGCAAAGGCGGTTCATACAAGGCATAGATCAAGCGCCTAGTGTGTGGTATTGCTGAAGGTCCGGAATGCCTAGCGCTGGGGATTCTTTGGCGAAGAACAGGCTGCTGCTGGCGATGCTACAGAGCGCTTAAGCTCCAACACGAAAAATACGCCTCCATCAGTGACACCGTAAATTCATTTATTGGTTTCACAAGGTAATTTATTTTTTCCGTGAAAATTACTGGCGGACGCCGCCCGGTGCACAACGGTCAACCGTCATACCCTGGGGCTTGGGTGCCCATTGGCCTGCAGGCAAGATACGGTTGCGCTGCATCGCTTCGGAGAGACCCGGAAAATTTTGTGCCCATTCCTTCTAACACCAAAGGTGAATTTCGAAAGCATCAAAGAGCCCCCTTCCTGCTGTCAACTTCGGCGAAATTACGAGACAGGCCGCAGACGCAGTACTACCACCAACTGTCGCCAACGACAGCGCGGTGACGTTATTTCCAGTGAATTGCTTATCGGGAGAATAAGCATATTTGACTTCTGTCCTGTATCATTACCATAAAGTCAGGGTTCTGCTGAATAATGTAATGCGCAAATCCTAATATTGGCGGGAAAAGCCGTACCACTCGTGTCGGCACGAGGGCGGCACTCTAGCGCGAATCCGAACCAAATATGGGGACATATGTGATTAATGAGTCCTTTACACATATAATTTTGCTGATTAAGAGAAAGTTTTGCCCCGGTTCTCCGTTTTCCCTCGGCACATCGGCCCGGCGAGCACGTCTTCCCTGATGCGTATATCTGCCCTGATGCAGCCTCTGGTTTGTATCCATAGATGCTTTAGGCAACGAGTTACCCTCTGCACCTTCTGTTGTCTGGGACTGCTCCACTGATGTCCCTCACTCCTTCCAACGGGCTTAGCTCGACTTTGCCAGTTTCTCCGGTGCTGGGGCACTTCTGTGAGGCGCCTTGACTGAGAAGGCATTCCACCAATCTTTTTGCGGCATTTGTACACCGCTCATGAGGCCTAAAGGATTCTGTCAAGGCATGGTTGGACCAAGGGGTCCAGAAGTACCGTGCCCATCGTGGTGCACCAATTCCTTGAGCCCTAGTTAACAGACGATGTGTAGGTCTCTGGTGGCTTATTCCGTGGAATGGCGTGCTATATACAACATCAACATCAGTGCATGCAGCTCAATTGCTTTGTTCTTGGGGATAGGGTGGTAGAGGCTTGTCGTGCGTCTGTAAAAGGTGGCCATGTGACCAGTGCTTGGTTCGCATCAAAGCAAAGCGTGCACATCTTCTGTCACTACTAGGAATGAAAAACTACAACAGAGCTGCTTACTCTAGGTTACTACTGTACGCCCCTTCAGGGGCAGCAACTAACACCAATAAGCCTGGCAGAAGTCCTAATATGATTGATGCTCTCAGCTTGTCTAGTTCTACTGAACTCACAAACGCAGGCCTGACGAATAGCCACACTCCTACCCTCTGAATGCAGCATCGAACATTTCTTCTACGAGCTGTTCATCATCCGCAGTCTCTGAACAACCCGGGGGAAGACGTCTGCCCCAATCACTCGCGATCCAGGTAATTGCAATAACAGTACTATTGCATACTAGAAACGCATGTGGTCCAGTGTTCGCTCCAGAGTATGCATCACCTAATGCCTAGCATTAAACATATTCGGTTATGCCGACAAGCCCGGGGGAAGGTACATTCCAAGCAACTAAGCAGAAAATCTTCCGCAGGGAGAGAACAAAAGAAAGCGTTTTTCCTAACAGTCTACGATACATGGCCTTCCACATTACACAGATACCATAAGAACACCATAAGCGCTCGCTTCAAGTACACGACTGGCCAGAAGCCGTATATTAAAATCGTTTGGCTTGCATCACAAATAAAGGCTACTTCAAGTGGAACGACGGCAACTGCTTAAGGTACTACAGCGAACAAAATAATTATGCGCCCAAATCGAGTAGTTGGTGACCCTTCTTCAGGGATACTTGCTTCGTACGTGCTTCTCCCAGCTAGTCAACTTCGTTTCCACAACGGCAGTGTTCTTCCTGATTGTTCTGGCCAGACTCAAGAGTGGATGGGCATTTCTATTCCAGCGCCCATCTTCGCCTCGCCCTATCAAAACGCGTCCTGCTTCAAGGTGCTCCAGTGCCCGCTCAACGCACAAGTCCAGTTCAAGCTTCAGTGCCTCCCCCAAGGTTATCTGCTTCTCCTTGATAGCCATAAGCATTTCTGTGGCTGCACTCACGTTGAGGCGGTCGACGGGTAGTTTCCCTTCCTCCACGCTGTGCTGAGCATGCACCAGCGACTTCACAGCTGCATGCATGGAATCTTCTTGCTCCTGAGACTTCAATAACAACTGCATCAAATATGCAAATTGGGGCCCTTCCAATGGATGCTGAAGAACCTTTTGAAACTTAGCTTGCTGAAGTGCCTCCGCGACACTCACTGAATCGAGCAGCGTTCGCAAACTATCCAAGGGATCCGCTTCTGCAGGTTCTGGGGCAGGCGTTGGGCTGGCGTGTTTCTTCTCGTAAGGGGTAGGCAGTGACTCGGCCAAGTTATTCGCAAGTACAAGAATGTCTGGATATAGTTCAAGAAGCTTCTTTGACTGACTGGTCATGTTGGTAGTCAGTTGTGTAACCACAAAAAACTCGGAAGCGGCGCTGTTACCAACGTTTTCCAAGGCTCGTAGCAGCTTTCGGAGATTACTTGCAACCTCTTCTGCCTGCTCCTGAGTTTTTGCATTTCTGACATTCTCAGCTAGCGATTCCAGGCCGGTACAGAGTGCTCCAACGTTCTGAGCCAATGCAGATGATATTGACGAAACTTTATCTACAAGGGCCTGCACGGCCAACTGTGCAGTTGAGTCATCCCCTCCTTCTGCCCTGCTGGAGAGCAGGACACTCTCCGACCTGTTTCCCCACGCCTCTGTCCTCAATGACGCACGCCTAAACTGGTCCGTTAGATTCTCAATACTGCGTCTAAGTTCTGAGACTTCACCGATCTCCTCACTTTGGCCATCCCCACTTTTCGGCATTTCCACGTTGTGCTGCGCGCCACTCTCCAAAGGTCCACGTTTATCCGTTGGCAAGACGTTCGATTCTCCCGGCGCTGCAGTACTCTCATCAGCCTGTGGAGGCACTGCAGCAGACTCTCCCATTCCCTCCTCCCATAGAAGGCTTGAAGAAAGCAACCTCACGAAGGACGCCAACACCACGACAAGAAGAGCTACGCTTAAAACCTTGGGCCCATACCTCCAAACTTTCTCTTCCTTCTCAACTACACTGGGAGCTTCTTCTAATTCTCCGTCTTTCCCTTGCCCTCCTTCCCGCTGAGCCTCTCCTGTTGAGGACACCGAGGGCAACCTTGCCTGTAGTACAATACTGTTCTCCGGATCCACGCTGTGCAGATTATTAGGGGGATCCGGCGAAGACGAAGTATTGGCCTTTTCTTCTGACGGAAAGGCATCTTCGGGCTCTCCGCGAGCGGCCTGAAGGTTCATTCCGCTCGCCAGTGGCCCATCTCTACTCGTCAATGGCCCAGCAGTTGACCAGCCCTCCGGAAGAGTTCCGGCGACGCCACCCCATTTGCTCAATGGCGCAGTGGCCAGTACTATTGCAGATGCAATTATTCTACGCATTATACTGAGTATACTGAGCAAAAGTAAAGAAAAGTAGATGGAAGAATGACGTCCGAGACACCTGGTCCGAGCGAGACGTCTGCTGATCCCGCTAAACTAAGTAGGGTGGCACGTCCACGTTGTCTGTAATGCTAACAAAGCAACCAAGATCTGTTGGGCCCTGCGAAAGCACCAAAAAGCACAGCCTCGCTGCTGCCTGACTGATCCTAGTCGTCTCAGACACCACGGGGAAACGGCGTACCTCGACTAGCAGAAATACAGGCACCCTCGTGTCTCAAGGGCGGAAGGAAAAGGAATAAATATAAAATTAATTCGTGTGGGAAGGAGAAAATCAATTCAAATGCGCCAATGACGTGAAAAAGGTGCCCCTGCAGTTGAGAACAGCAAACGGCCAAGGGGGCTGAATGGACAGCACGAAACCCGTAGGAAGCGCTTCAGTGCGACCTTACTTAAAAACTATTACTTTCCGAGCTACATATATGTGTAATACGGACTGTGGATAAATTTAAAAATACTTGTAAAGAGGGTCCTTAACAATTGCGAAGGCTCGGTCATCGGGCGCTGCCCGTTTAGTGGCGAGGAACGGAAAGCAGGCGAGCACGGCATCGAGCACGAGGCCGTCATTCAGCACGCTGAGTGTGAAGTACTTTCTTTGTTCAATTTTCGTGTATAGATGTTGTTGGAGCAGGGTGATGATGAGATGAGTGTAAATGTTGTTAGTGAAACGGAGAGATTATTCTTCTTGTGGTCAAGATGAACGAACACGGGTGACCCACTCGATGAGAACAGAGGGCCGGGCATACCACGGAGAGCAATGGCGGTATGCACATTCAACGAATAAATACACTAGCCACATTCACAAGAATCATCCATTCCACGCCATTCTACACATGCATATATTCTAGAGCCTTCCATTTAACACCGTTGGCCGAACCTCTTGCCGGACCCGTTGCCTCACGCGGAAAGACACACCCTGTACTCCGGCTGAATCTGGGCCAACTCCAATATCAAATGAGAATGATTGGAAGCTCGTTGCTTTCGTCCCTATGTAGCGTTAGGCTTCAGAACCACCTCGTCGCCCCGCGGAGCTCGTGGTGGCCTGCCTTGCCGATGCTCAGTACAGCTCAGGCGGTCAGCGTCTGTGTGTTGACCTTTACGACCTAACATGTGCACTCGATGCACTAAAGCGCACGCTTGCTTAGCGTAAACTAAGGAGATGCTTGGCCACTGCAGAAATACCACCTGTCCGACAAAATCTGCCCTAGGCGTCCTGTCACGTTCCAATGTTCTATGTGGCTTTTTGGAAACTGTGCGCCTGCCTACCAAACCAACAAGGGCTGTAATCTTCAGGAGACTGGGTCCAATTTAACGACTTCATGCACATGTTCGGGCAACTCTACGGAGTGCCGGACATCACCAGCATCGAGCAAAAGCCGTGCTGCCATCCTCCCGGACACGGGAATGCAAGCACAGGCAATGAATTTAATGCTGCACCTCCGACATTCAACTTCATGTGGACACTCACCGCAACGTGAAGGGCTTTCACATGTCAGAACAATTTGCCGAGGTGTAATCGGTTCGCAGTCGTTCCTTGCACAATCGACTTAGATTTTTTGGCGGTAATCCTAAAAAGAGGATGGCTGTAGGCCGGTAACTACAGCCCGGAAGTTTGGGCCATTGAAGCCGTTTAACTGGATGGAAATAATTCACTATAAAGTCAGTGCAAACGCCTAGGTTACACATAAGTGAGACGGGCCTCCTTAGCACATTATTACGTTGCCCCGTTATGTCGAAGTCAACACGTGTGCAGAGGCGCTGCATACTCGCTGATTTCCCCTCAAAAGAATGAATTGTTGAGCTTTTGCGCAACAGCGAACTGCAACTTTGCCAGCCTAGCCAAGTGCGCCGCCATGAGACTATCCTGTAACGTGTTCTGACAAAGTTGTTCAAAGTTCTCCAGTTCTGGCTCCGTGGCTCCGCTCAGAGCTGCGCTGAGGAAACGGCCAACTTCGGGATCTGGTTCAGTTTCCCCGTTCAATATGCTTCGAACGTATGAGGCACAAATCTCGAGCTTCTCTTGCAACTGCTCAAGTTCAGCACTGAGGCCGTCGCCCATTTCATCCAGCAAAACGCCATCTGGCGCTGGTTCCATCAACTCTTCAGCCTTAGGCGGATGGCTGCGATGCGCCATGCGGACCTTTTGCAGCAACCTCAAGCCAATTCGGTCGGAGGGAGACGCGTACAGTTCCAAGGGGAGTTCATGAAATTGGAAGCAAGCCTCCCTAGCCATACTCATCTGCACTTGTGTGTACACCTGAAACGCAAACAATCAATTTCCCCAGAGGCACGATTGCAGCCTCTCCGTCCCTTCACGTGAGAATTACGCGCCTAGAAACAGTGAATCTCTTTGGGCTGTCACAAGGACCGTTTCTTACCTTCACTGCGAAGCTCCCGCTCTCCATGATCGCATCAACCATCAAGTGGATGGGTTCTGTCAGCGGAGGCTGAGGAAAGAACTTGGAAACAGAGGAAAACTGCTTGAACCAACCGTGCACAGCGCAGGTCAGTTCTGTCATTTCACTACCTGTGCAGAACCACCCCACCACCACCTCCCGAACTCCCCCATTGCCTCCGTTGGCCTGCTGCTTTAGCTCGAACATGCTCTCGTGGTGGTCCTTGATGATTTGCAGCAAACCCTGCACAGGAACAGCACACGACAAACGGCGAATGAACCGAGTGCGATATGAAGCTCTGCCTCCTTCCCACGTGTGCCTTCATCCCTTCAAACTTGTTAATGCTGAGATACCTCTCCCGTCAAGGAGTGCCGATCCACGAAGCAGTCTGTTACGTCGATGACGTTTCCATCGGAGCAAGACCCCAGCAGAGTGCCGATGACGTTTTCCTGGCCTTCGTCGCGGCGAATGTACGCATCCAAAATGGTCATAAGCGGCACTGGATGCAGACGGACACGGAGAGAGGGGAAAGGCAGCAAGTCGAAGTTCTTCGGCACACAAGCCGACTTCGGGTTGCCAGCCCCCAGCGTTGAAACCCGGCGCGACATCGTTGTTAGAGGGCCACAGGAAACTCCCCCCCTAAAACACCAGCTCGAGAAAACTCCACGGAATGCTTACAATGCGATTGATCTGTAGTGGCAGCAAGGTATTGCAATCACTGCCCTAGGTATGTTTGCGAAGGCAGAACCGGCGAGGGCTCTACCGTAACCCCTCTATTGGTTTGCTCAAGGTTGCGCTCCTTAAAAACATGATGGATTTCGTCCACAAATGCTATATTCACAAAAGGACATCACGGTTTCTAGATGTTTCCCACAATGGGGCTGGGGATGCCCCAGGCTTCCACGGCACTTTGGGGCCCGGCCGATGCATGCGCCCCGCAAGTCGACTGTATTTAGGCCGGTTACATCCTTGAAGACCATTTGCCCGCAAAGTTGAATTTTTTTGAGGCTTTCTTGCGACCTTGTAAGGAGGCGTATTAGTCCTTGCATGTGGGGACGGCGGAACATCGTGTTGCAAGCAATGCGCGCTGGCGAGAACCCCATGAATTATGCGAAGTGCTCAGTCAGTGACATGTTGCTGTATTATCCTTCAAGTGCCCATAACGACTAATAGGACATACTGAGATAGGTGAGCATTCTGAGAGCGGTGTCGCTTGCAGCTCGCTATCGCCGTGGGTGTGCGCTGCCTTCGCCTTAGACTATCTCGAACAGTCTAGTTACTTAGCAACATTCAAGAAAACACGTGGTTACGCTCACTGAGCCCTCCTGTACTAACTATTCTGTCTTAGAGCATTTTCGTTTGGTTTTAACGAACCGGACTCACTGCAACGAGAGCGCTTGCTCTTGGCATAGGACAGTCGTGAGCTACAGGAGACAAAGACAATAGATAGGAGTTTCCAAAAGTAACTGACTTCCCCTCCAGTCTCCAACCATCCTGGATACGGGTATGGGCATCTCTTTTCTGTTCCCAGGAAGGCAACACTACGTGCATCCGCAGCAATTTTCCCGCATACATGGAGATGATGGGTCCAACTGTCTCTCACCCGGGCCTGTAGTGGTGCACATAGAGGCACTAGTCGGAAGTCTTTGTCCATTTGCAGTCTCAAGCATAATGAATGAGCGTTTTGAAGCCAGGCGACAGGCAAATAACACTGGCGGGTTGCGGCCAAAAACCTACCACTTTTTGATTCGGGGCGATCCAATCATGATGTCGCTATGCATTGCCCAATGCGTGGAAATAGGGAGGACTGGCAACTGCCAAAATGTCTGCGCCTGTGTGGAGCCTGTGGATCCACGTGTGAGCTCGACACGGCTTCCGAAGTTTGCATGCGTTGTGACCTTTCATATGCCACTTCTCCGAGGATATGCCTGCTTCCTTTTGCTTTGTCAAGGGGGGAGGAACACTAAGTTGGAATTAGGCTGCACTTTGGAGAAGCCAGCACCGCACTGCCTTTGAAATTTCTTGCCTTGCTTTAGTTGGGGGCCATCGCGTTGCCACTACTAGCGGTATAAGGTTACAGTAAAGGCCGAGAACAGGTGCGAAAGCTGAATTGAGGGGCGAACTCGCTAGCCTGTTTGGCTTGCTAAGAGTAACCCCCTCGGCAACGTCTATGCTCTACTTGCAACGGCTCCGTCGACAGAATGATGCATGCAGTGTTGAGCAGCACCGCATCCGCTGCGAGGCAGACAGGCAATGGTAACCTCGTAACCTCTCCCAAGGTGGGCACACTGTATTTCCCGAGTGGCTAGCCAGTGCAGGCAGGCGACGGCGACACTCAGCACCCTCTAAGCCCAGGTATCGATCTGCCAGGCACTCCAAACCGCCCTTCCATTGTGAAGACGTAACAACTCGATCTGGAACTACAGCCCGCTGTACGATTGCATGGCTTTAGGAAGCTGAAGGATTCGCGAACATGTGCAATGCGCTCGGTTTTAGACTTCATTGATTCACCAACAGATTAATCTGGATGACTCAAGCGGTTTTCGTCGCAAGCAGTCCTTGCTAGTGCATCTCAGCAGCATAACTTCTGCTGGTATTCAAAGGTGCTGCTGCCCCCGCCGGGGAAAACTTTATAACGGTTGTACGCTTCGGGCTTTTGGGGAGCTCTTGGTTTCCTCTGAACTCTACTAGCCTGCCCATGTCACTAGCTCTGCCTCGTACCACCTTGAGGGGTGTTGACTGAAGTACACCCGATAGAGTACGCCGCCACCGTGGGTATCAATAGTTGAGAAAGTGAAGCACAGAGTTGTTAAGTATGCGAGGGGAAGAACACATGGCATCAGGAATCCCAGCGAGTCTCGCACGCGGATCTAACCGAATTCAGCATTCAACTCGCATCAGTGTCAACCTCGTTTATCCCCCCGCCCCCCCCCCTTCGCAAAACACAATCTGTGCCGCGCAAGGCTGCAAATGGGCTTGAGCAGCTTCCAGGGAAGCGAGGCCAGACGGCGCTGGCCGTCTACAGCACACTGCTTCCGCTCATTGCTTTAACGCCAAGTGGACTATTTGCTAGACAACAGCCTTCACACTGTGTTTAGTTCGCCACACAACAACATACCACCACCAAACCTCCATGAAGAGGCACGACTTCTCTAATCTTTCTTCTTGGACGTCTTGGAGACCTTTACGTCGCCACTCTTTGTCCCCATGCAGAGGGCAACGCCTAAACAAGTAATCATCGATCCCATGATGCACCCAACAATGAAAAGCATCAACAGAGGAACAGGGAACTGAATGAAGACATCGCGGAGTTGTTGAACTGCCAACACAAACTCGTCCTTCATCGAGTCCAGCCAAGACAGGACCGGCGGAATAGGCTGAGCAAAACGGACACAAGTGGTAATCTCACATCAGTTCAGAGCCAAGTAACTTCATATAGTGCCGTGAAAAAACTACTATTGTAAATAGTGACTGCAAATGATATCCAAATTCAAAACGCAACTCCTGACATAAACGCGTCGCCTCACTTTGCCAGCCGTTTGCTCCCAGCCGCCGGTTGCAAAGGCGTACAGATCGTCCACAGTGCGGCTGCCCTTGTAATGATACATCTGGCCCTAAAAGAGACACAACACCCAAAAATAAACCGCACTAAAACACATGACGGGATGCGCTGCACTACACGCAGCACGTGATTAACTGCTAACACCGGAGGGCGAAGCCACCCAGTCGGCTGTTGAACGCTCGCCTCACATCTTTAAGGAACAGAAGAGTTGGGAAACCTCTAATGCTGAATCGTCTTGCAGTCTGCGGGTTCGCCGTGGCATCGAGATGAGCTACGTTAATTTGTCCCTTTAGCTTCTTAGCGAGCTCCTCCCACGCAGGCGCCATCTTCCTGCAATGGCCGCACCATGGAGCGTAGAACTTCACAAACCAGTCGCCTGAGACAAAGAGGAGGAGCAGAAAACAACAGGCCTTAAACGCACAAAAGGCTGCGAGTGCCGCAGGTAAGCACGTTTCCGTTAAAATGGCATGCATACATGCACTGCATAGCGCGTTTCACGCCTTTGTGGACTGATGGCGAAGAGTTGAGAGTCAGGGATGCGTTGAACAACACAAATTGCCGTAACGTGAGGGAAAAAGAGTTCAAAAGGACACTATTTCCCCGTGAACACCAAGCAAAGAGCCGGCCTGCGGGCAGCCCGACACTACGTACCCGAGGTGGAGCCGGTGACGGCTTGCGTTTCTTGTTCAAAGTTCGCATCTGTAAGGATCTGCACAGCGGATTCAGAATGTGTAGCCGCAACTGCAGGGCTTCCTGAGGAAGCAGGAGCTGCAGGCGCTGCTGCAAGAGCAAAAGGTAGTGCCATTTCGCTACTGCTTAATTCGTGCCAGGCGCCAGCAGCGGCCACCAGGCACAAAACACGTGAGAGGAACTGCATTCTCAGAAAGGAAAATATAAAGAGCACATTTGGTAATAAGGCAACGGGGACTAATGTAAAGACATCAGGGAATCAACACATTCTGCTTCCTACATTGAGGAGGGGAGTGGCGGACGTAACACAGGAGCCAACTCAGGCCCCTGTGCGCTGCAGCTGAACTTTGGGCCCTGACAGCTACTTCCATAACGCATTATTTTCATAATGTAATTTAATTGGAGGATATTTTTCAGAAATACAAATGTTCTTAATGTGTCTGCCACCACCAAGTGAACACAACACACACAAGCCTGCCGCCAGCGGACTTGCGCTAATACCTCAGACAACACAATCAGAATCCGTTCGCTCCAGAGCCTTACCGATGGGCCCCTCATTTTAAAATGAGGCATTGGCAAAGGCGCATGAGCCGGACCCATCATATGGTATACGTCTGTCTTCGGTCATTTCCGTTGATATCCCTTGCAGGGCCTTCTTTGCGGGCCAGGGAGCGTGCACTCTCCGTATCATATACTTTTAAGTGGTACGCTTACTTCTGCTTGCAGACTGGCTATTCGGGTCAGGTATGCGTGGAGAGTTTGTTTGCAGTGCAAGAGCAGTCACGAAACTAGTTCTGCGTGGCAAATCTATCATGGAGTGTATTAGCACACCATGCTAGATAACATATACACCTCCTTGGCCTGAGGCAGCTTACAGGCAAGCAAAAGTATAACAATTGCGTACAGTAGTAGAGCAGACAGCAAAAATGGGTTTGGCTGCGCGCGCATGTGAGGTCGTCTCACGGAACTAGTTGCAGCGGGATGGCCCTGGCAGGCGGGCGGACGCATGCACTAGCACTGTAGATCTCATCTAAACATGTACTTGGCCCTCAGTTGGGCAACCTGCACGCAGAAGTACAACTCCAACTTTAGCCATGCTGCATCCTTCCCTTAACTGGTCGCCATGTAGCGATGTCATTGTGTGCCTGGTCGCTCAAGAAGGAATAGATGAACTGAGTGGGGAGCTCCTGCAGCATTTGCAGCTGCGGCAGCGAGAGGTCTTTCTGCTGTTCCATCGTGTGCTGGTGTTGCGCGTCTTATTGCGGCACCCCTGGATGCTGCATCTCGTACTGGTGCCCAGCCACTGTTGCATTCCTCGCCGTGGGACTTTCAGCTTCTCAGCCTACAGTTTGAGTTGGTGCTGAATTCTGAAGAGCAGGGCAGCAGATAATTCACTTCATAGTCCACTCGGCTGTCAACTTGGGCAGTCCTACGGTGTACAAACGGCCCGGCAACAAAACCGAGGTCAACGAGTGCTGCAGTTGAGTTGGTGTACATGTTCATGGAATTGCTGGGTTGGCATCTCCTGCATGCGTTGCCTTGGATAGACTCAGAAAACACAACCGTTTCACCCGCAGTTTGCATTCGGTTACGGCACAGGCCATGTCCCAATTATTCATTGTTCATGCGTACAAGATCGACGGTTTTTCAAAAAGTAGCATTGCTGAAAGGAATTGTAAGTTGGTTCGTGCATTATATCAAGACTTTACGGCCAGGCTGGATTTCATATACATGAACATTCCAAACTACCCGGAGGCAAACGGTGAAACTGGACTCACCGACCGCACACTTGTGCAGACTTTGCACCCGTACACTCAGCAAAACTCATCAGAGCGGTTTGGTTTCTGGACAAAATGGTTCATAATTCAACAGTGCACTTCGCGACCTGCCGTACTCCGGCTTCCCTGGTATGCGTTCAAACGCCGTTCTCGTATCCGACGCTGGACCTGGGCATTTCCCAACCAGGCCCGCGCGCCCGCATCTGCCGAGTTCCATACATAGCTTGCAGCAGCTCGGGAGTGTTTGAAGAAACCCGAAAGCTCCACACAAGGAGCTAGGCGGTCGGCAGTTACGTCTAACCTGCACTATCTGTCATTAGTGAATCTGCACTCTCTTCAAAGCTTGTGGGAAGGCGAGAAGAGCATCAGATTCGCCGCGCGTTTGATAGGGCCATATAGTAAGCGTTCTCTTGTCAATGCGTAAGCCTTGTAGACTTACCCCAAAGTTGGTAGCTCACCATTCCATTCCACTGATCGCACCCCAGACTGCTCAGAGGACCAGCAAATTTTCTCGAGCTCTTGCCACGGAATAGCAGCGAAGTCACCTGCCGAAGCATCGAGTTGGAGAAAAGTGGCAACCGATACACGCGTGTAGCGACGCATAGAGGCAACAGAAAGCAAAACTGTCTCGGCCAGACGAGCGACATCCCGAGTGAGCTTCCGGAGCTCAACTCAGGACAAGCTGTACTCTTTCAGCATCAGCCCCGCAAGTTCGCTCTAGTGTGTCCACGATGCGTAAAAACTGGAGGAGAGGATTCAGGATTCTTGCCGTATATTTTGACTCTATTGCAGCTCAGGACGGCCTTCATCCTAGAGAAAGGACGCTTGGTACGAACGACGCCGGCAAAACATACGAATATCTCCCCTGAAATTTCCAACTGCATAATCCTGGAATAACGTTTGGGGAGTTTGCAGGGAAGTGGTGTGGAAGAGGAACATCCCTCTTCCAAGAGGCGCAAGCAACGGTCTGTGCATGCATGCCCCTCAATATCAGGTTTTACAATCATCAACCGCTTGTTTGTGCGAATGCTACTTTTTGGATGGATTGCACTCGATTGCTTGTTGCTGCAATAGAATCGTTTCAGCAAATTCAAGTAACGCTTGAAATCTGTCATTATTCGTCACTTTGTCTGCTGCATCAAGAGAACGCCCCTTTGCCTCTTCTTCCTTGGCGCATGCCAGCTCCAGTAGACATGAGACCCTTTGTGAGTATAGTTCGTTGTCTCAGAACTCTGAATGGGAGCACGTTTTCTTTTTTCAATTCCAGCTATTGACTTGCTTGAAGAATGAATGCGAATTTATACTCTACAGTAGTCCCCGGGGATCTACCTGTCTACAGCCGCTGTTGCGCAGTGGTTGTCTCTCTACGATGTGCACCCTCAAGAACGTGTAGAAGCTTAAATGGCATAAGCAACTAAACCAACAAGAGTAATGGGTGCTGTTGGTGTGGCATCGGCGGCTTGCTGCTTCTGAATTGCATACGCCTACCACCAGGAGGGCACCCCGACATCAGGTACCTTAGGCTTGAACAGAGTGAAGGGAGAAGGCCAAATGAATAAGCTATCTATGCTGATGGATGCTTTAGACTGAAAGCCCCTATGTCTGCAGTTCTTGAGGATGTGCCATTCCCCCCTAAAAGAGGGGAGCCTCTGGAAGGTTGAGGTTTCTTTGATCGACGCCTTGTTCCTTCTGCGAAATTCCAATTTCCTGACCGCCTGCACACCTCAAGATGTTGTGAAATAGAGGTCTGGGTTTGTTTTTGGCGGTTTTCGTCTATTGGCATTCCTTCAGGCAGACATTGCAGGGCAGCAGTCCGCGCCATTCAATGGCCTTTTTCTCGCGCATACCTCCGCAAAGTTGTGTTATTTTTCTAACGTTTTGAACTCAAATCTATTAATAATAATATTAAGAGTATGCTAATTGACTTATTCATAGGCAGCCCGTACTCACACCCGTGTGCTACAGGCCATGCAGTGGTCCCCCTCTAGCACCGGCTCGGCACCGGGGGCTATGGTGGGGATCGTTATATGTATATATTTGACATTGAATTGAATTGTTTATATTGAAGTAAGTTTAAACAGGTATTTATTTCTTTTTTCCAAACAAAAGGAGGGGAAATACAAGAGCGGCCGCCAGCAGTACCGGCGTGTGCAGACCAGGCTATACCAGCCCTTCCGCCACCGGGCTGGTTTGTTGTATGCTTTTTGCTGGAGTTGTGCATTATCTCTTGTTTTGTTGATTTTGTAGTTGAAAGGTGCATAAATATACATCATAAATTCCTCTCACGCTGAAGCAGGTCCCTTCTCCGTAGGGCTAGCTGGTGCTCTACTCAGCTGCATCGACGCGCCGGTGTTGTTGCCGCCCGTTCTGCAGCCTTAATTGAACTTCTTCATTGCCTTGCTGGTATTGTATGTTTCTTCACAGGTTTCTAAAAGCAGTTAATCTCTTTTAATAAAAGGTATTGCTTGCTACAGCAGCAGCAGCGGGTTTCCCTTGTCATACTTTACTAGGGCTGCTGCTGCTGCTGTTGCTGCTGCTGCTCTCGTGTTCTCTTTCTCGGCAACCCTCTACAAACCCCAAGGTGTTTGCTGCACAACCTCCCGTGCATGCGTTGTCCAGTCGTTGATAGCAGTTGGTCTGCAGCTATTTTTCTGGCTCCTTCCCCGCTCCTTCCTGGCCTCCACATCCCGAGGGGGGTCACGACTCTGTCTCATTTTCATTTTTCTCCCCTTTATCTACATTCAAAAAAGTGAGGAAGTGCCTTCTGTGGGGCCCCACACCTCCCAGCCTCGTTCGTGTTTACCGTGCAGACGATGTACGGGAGTCCCTGTGCAATGCAGAGCGCACCGTGCCCCTTCGAGAGCCGCTCAGGACAAGAAGGAGCTCCGCTACCCCCCAACCAGCAGCAGCAGCAACAGCATGAGGGGCATCAGCAGGGGCGGGTATTAAAGCTGGAACCGATCCCAACTGCAGCTGGGGGCCCCTGGATAACGGAGCAGGTGGTGGAGGTACGTCGGCCTACGATAGAAGAGCGGGTTGTAGAGGTACCTCAGGTAGCCCTTAGAGAAAGAATTGTTGAGCAAAAACAGCATATTGTTCAAGAAAAGGTAAAGTTTGTTCCTAAGTACGAGACTGTAGAAAGAATTCATCATGTTCCTAAGCCCATCACCAGAGAGATCATCACTGACGTCCCTCAAGTCCAAGTCGTTGAACGCACCGTTGAGGTACCCACCACCATCTATCAGGTAAACTAACCCTAAACCCTAAACCCTAAACCCTAAACCCTAAACCCTAAATCCTACATCCTATATCATAGATCTATATGGATGTATACATTTTTAGTATATATAAGAATATACCCCTGGGAGAGCATAAATATGCACACGCATATATGCATATTAATATATATATATATAAATATACATATATATGTATATATATGTTTTGTTTGTGCAGGAGGTGTTCGTGCCGGTGCCTAAGCCGGTGTATGAAGAGCGAATTCGGGAGGTGGTTCGTCCGGTGTACGTAGAGAAGGTGGTGGAGGTGCCTCGCGTGCAGCAGCAGCAGCAGCAGCAGCAGAGACAGAGTCCAAGAGATCCGCTTCCCCGCCATTTGGCGCACCCTGGGATGGTCTTTAAGAGCGGAGTTGGCCCCACAGCAGGGCCCCCAGGCAGGCAGCTCTCCTGCCCTCTCTCCGCAGGTGCTGCAGGGGGCCCCGCATCTAGCTGTCTCTTCTCTGCTTGCTGCGGCAACCAACCAGCAACCACGGGGGCCTTAACATCAAAACCCGTCGTATACACACAAAGCAGCAGCAGCACTCAACAGAACTCTTACCCGGTGCCTCTACGCTGGAGCACCACTCCGATCCAGCAGCAGCAGCAGCAGCAACAGCAGCAGCAGCAGCAGCAGGGGTTTGTGATTGAAGGGGAGGAAGCAGCAGCAGATGCTGCTGGCTGCTGCTCCATGCTGAGCCCCCGCAGACGCACAGTGAGGACGCGGGAGTTCGTGTACAGCACAGGAGACGGCGCCAAAGGAGACAAATACCGTCTCCGAGTTTCAACTGTCTCCCCCAGAGGAAGAAGCAGGCGCCCTTGTGATGGCTGGTGTACAGAGAGCCCCAGAGCCGTATCCGTACCCGCACCCATACGAGTAAGCAAACCCTAAACCCTAAACACTAAACCATTAACCCTTAACTTTAAACCCTAGGACAATTCCATCAACGCACACACAGACCGTACCACACAATTCATAGGCTAACCATCCCGCACCGCCGAGGGTTTAGGGTTAGACTAAACCCTAAACCCTAGAAGCAACTGAAACCTCCACATTTTACCACTTTGGCAAGGAAAAGGAGGATACGGAGGGTTAGGGTTTAGGGTTTAGGGTTTAAGGTTAAGATGTGCTTCTGCAGACGGTTCGCGTAGTTCCTCCTTTCACGCCTTCCAGCACTCCGCGTGTCTTCAAAGCGGACTCTGTCTATCGTCACCAACTGGAGCAGCAGCGGCTGCAGCAGCAACAGCAGCACCAGCAGCAGCAGCAGTCAGGGGTGGCCTCACCTGACCCGTGGATCCGCACCAAGTTGGGGGATATGCCATTTGCTGTTTTCGAACGTCTCAACAATGAAGACGCGCTCAGCCCGCGTCCTGGTGGTGCTGCTGCTGCCTATAGCTTGGAACAGCAGCAGCGGCAGCAGCAGCAGCAACAGCAGCAGCAGATGTACCTGCGCATGCAAATGCAGCAGCAGCAAGAGGCAATTGCGGCGCAGCAAAGACATATGCAGGAGGAGGAAGAGAGGCGACTCGAGCTGATACGCCTACAAGCTGAACGGGAGCAGCAGCGCTTGCTGCACCTGCAGCAGCAGCAGAAGCAGCAACAAGAAGAAGCCCGGCGCCTCTATGAGCAGCAAGAACGACAGCGGCTGCTGGAGTTGCAGCGTCTAGAGGAGCAGCGCAGAGAAGCAGAACAGAGGAGACAGCAGGAGCTGCAGCAACTGCAGCAACAGCTGCAGCAGCAGTTGCAGCTGCAGCGGGAGCAGCAAGAAAAGGAGCTGCAGGAGAGGCTTGAGGAGGAGCGCCGCAGAAGGGAAGAGGAGAGACGCAAGCTTGTAAAGGAGTTGCAGGAGAAGAGAGAGCAAGAGGAGCGGCTGCAGCGGCAGCGGCAGCAGAAGCAAATGGAAGAGCTGCTGCAGACACAAGAGCGGCAGAGAAAAGAGCAAGAAGAGAGACAGCAGCGGTTCTTAAAAGAGCAAGAGGAGGCACTAGCCAGTCTGCTGCAGCAACAGCAGCAGCAGCAGAAGCAGCTCCAGGAGGAGCTGAAGTCCCACCACGAACGGCTGAGGCAGCAGCAGGAGCTCCTGCGCATTCAGCAGGAAGAAGCGGTCAAGCAGCTGCAGCGAGACCATCTGCAGCAGCAGCAGCGCTTCGCAGCAGAGGCCAACCGCAGAGCCGAAGCGCTGTGCAGCCAGGAGCCGCTGCCATCGCAGTACGCCTGTCGTCTGTCTGCTGAGGTGCGTGAGAAGGTTCCGGTTTACGTACACCTCCAGGTGTACGTACGTGCATGCATGCGTACATGTGCACAGCCTCACTTAGGGGGACACCCAGCTGAGTTGTCTCCTTGAACTGCTTTGCCTTGCCTTTGTTGGGGGAGGGTTCGCGCGTCGCTGCTGCCGTGTAGAAGCAGCAGCAGCAGGAGCAGCAGGACGAACAGCAGGACGAGCAGCAGCAGCAGCAGCAGCGCGTGGGGTGGGAGTTGGAGCTGGAGTGCGTGTTTTGCGGTGTACGTGCAGCTACTAGGGGTTCTTTGCTGAATGTGTATGTGAGCCTGTGTGTGGGGTGTATGCATGCAGGCAGAGAAGCCGGAGCCACTGATAGAGACAAGAATGGGGTTAATGCCTTACTCCGAGTTTGTTGCTCTAAACCAAGCAGACGCCCTAAAGGCAAGCCCCAGGTAAGGCGTCCCGCTGCATCCTGCAGCATCCCTCAGTTGCTGCAGGGGACCAGCAGCCCGCCGCAGCTCCGCCAACAGTGTCGCGGCTAGCTGGGAGCACTAGCCGTGGCTAGCTGTGGCTAGCTGCGGCTAGCTGTGGCTAGCTGTGGCTAGCTGTGCTATCATTGATTGTTCTTTTGTGTTTGCTGTTCAGGAGTGGGTGCATTCCTTTAATGGAGACGAGTACGTACACTGGGACAAGCCCTCGGGGCAGTGCAGCTGTGTTTGAAGGAGTGGAGACAGTTACTGGGGTGTCTCCTTACGTTCCTGCATCTTATGTAACTTATCCTTGGACGTCGGTGCAGCATCTGCAGCAGCAGTACGTATATCCCACTGTCTCCCCTGCTGCTGCTACCTACTGGGCTCCAGAGACACCGCGCGGAGATGGGGGCCAATGTGTCTTTCCGAACGAAGGAGAGACAGAAGCAATTAAGGCGGAGGCCCAGCGCATTAGCAGAGATGCACTGGCAGTAGGGACTCAGGTGTATGGAGGAGTAAAGAGTGCTGTCTCCTCGGAGGCTACACAAGGCCTGCTACGCTCTGTTGGGGAGATGGTTGTGGATGCATACGGAAGGCTTAGGGGTAGCCGTTCCTAGGTAAAGAAAGAGTGATGAAGAAGGAGACAGACAGAGACGCGCATGCAGCAGCACGAAGCGCTGCACCTGTCTCCTGGGGCACATTGACAGACAGAGGAAGTAAAAGGAGACTGACGCATGCAGAAGCACAACAAACTGCAGCTGTCTCCTTTCATCGCTACAAGAGACAGCAACTGCGTAGTTGCTTCCTCTTCCTCGCCTCTTGAGAACCCCACAAAAGGGGACAAACGTACACCCCACGCGTAGCTGCAGCTGTAGCTGCAAACTGCATCAGGAAGGGGCCCAAAGGAGACATTTCAGTGAAGGAGGCAAGGAGATACAGAGGAGACACCACAGCGACGGAGACGAACACGTGCAGAGCAGTGCAAGAACCTGCAGCAACAGCAGCAGCAGCAGCAGCATCAGCAGCAGAGGGCCTTCTTTTCTTGTCTTGTACAAGCAAATCATGGAGACGCCTTCAGCACCCTCCTCCCCCGTCCTCTCCACCGGGCCTCATTTCTTATTATGTTTTGTTGTATTGTCTCTTCTTTTAAATTCTAAAATGCATTATTAAAGAAGAGACCCCTTGCGGTGGTGGGGGGCTGCAGGCTGCAGCGGCATCCTGAGCGACGAGCACCAGGTGGTGGCTGTCTCCTTTTTTGTACTGCGTTGTGTTGCGTCTTCTGCTGCTGCCAGCAGCAGCAGCAGCACCAGCAGCAACAGCAGCACCAGCAGCAGCACGGCAGCACCATGGTTTCTCTGCACACCCTAATAAACCCTAGAGCAAGAGCGTAATAGTAACAAACCCTAGATTATAGTAACATACACCCTAGTGGGGGTCCCATGCTCTGCATGCTGCAGTTGCTGTTGCATACAAGCACCAGCAGCAACTGCTCCATGCAAACAGCAGCAGCAGCCGCTGCTGCTGCAGCAAAAAGCAGCAGCAACAGCAGCTGCTGCTCTTCTTTGTGGGGCTACCATTCACAGTATCAATTAACAAGGCGGGCACAGAGACCGACTGCGTCTTTGGGTTTCTCGCTGCTCACTGACACCCGCACATAAATATATAATAATTCATAGGTATATACAATACATAGTATATTTAAATAATATATATATGCATATATATATATGTCTATATATGAAGGTAAATGGCTTCTGCTGGCGGTCCTGGAGGGCCATTAGCAGCACTTTTGAACGAACACAGGAGCTGCAATAACACTGAAAGATAAACTCAACTTATTATTAAGTTCAAGTGTACGTGCAGCTGATGCTTTTTGTGCAGCATACGCCTTGGGGTGTACGCCAGAGTGTCTACAGAAGGCTGGGTTTCAGCAGAGCAGAGGGGTCACCCACCACACAGTTCGAGGTTTAGGGTTTAGGGTTTAGGGTTTAGAATTTACGGTTTGGGGTTTAGGGTCTAGGGTTTACGGTTTGGGGTTTAGGGTTTATGATTTGGGGTTTAGGGTTTACGCTTGGGGATTAGGGTTTAGGCTTGGGGATTAGGGGATTAGGGTTTAGGCAAAGCTGTGGGGGCTCAGGGATTTAGAGGCCAACCCAGGGAGAGCTTCATTTTGCACTAGCTTTTGGGGCAGCAGATACAGGGAAGAAAACACAAAAATATATTTTCAGGTGTCTCAGCAGCTCGGCCCGTCGGAGTTGGGGTCTCCTAAGGACTATCGTGAAAAGGTGCGCATACACACCAAGCCGCAGCAGCAGTGCAGAAGTAAAAAAAACAAGAGACCTCAAACCCTAAACCCTAAAGCATAAACCCTTAAAGTGTATGTTCATACCCCTAAATAACCCGATGCCTGCTTCCTTAATAAATAAACTTCACCTGAGGCAGACGACTGGCGACAGTAATGTAATAAAAGAGAATTAAAATTAATTATCTAACTAAATTTAATTAATTAATAATAGAGAAAATTTATTTATTCTTCTTCAGCAGTAAACAATAACAAGATTGAAATAACTAAAAAGAAATCTCGATAGACCCGCAATAGAGCATCTCAAAAAAAAGTTTAATTGACTCAACTTCAGCAATAATAATAATAAAAATGAATATAAATATATAAAACAAAATAAAATAAATATATAAAGTAAGTTATTTACTTTATTTCAATTAAAACACAGCCGCTACCTACCGTCGATGTTTGCTCGTCCGGCGGCTGCCGGTGGATATATTTGTAGCCAAAAATGAATAAATAAATTAATTAATCATAAATTAATTTGTTATTTAAATTAAAAATTTTTAATTAAACAATAACTTTTAATTCAACTCCACCTCCAGTAATCTCGCCGCCGAACACTGCAGCAGACCCCCAGCTGCTGCTGCTGCTGCTGCTGCTGCTGTTGCTGCTGCTGCAGCAGCTACCACGGCCTTCGTGCAGCAGCAAACTCTATGCATAAACACCGAAGGAGGAAACGGAGAGACAGTCAGAGAAACCTAAAGAAGTCTCAGCATCCAGGGGGCCCCTAGGGTGCCGAGGGGCCCCCCAAGAAGCAAATTGACAGCTGGGGGGCCCCCATAGCAATGCAGGTAAAAGGGGGCCCCTGAGCTGCAGTGTACGGCCAGGGGCCCTCAGGGAAGAATACTGAGGGATTTGGGCTACAAAGGCAGCAAATGGCTGCTGCTGCTGCTGCTTTTGCTGCTGCTGCTGCACGTGAGTCGGCGAAGAGGGGGGCCCCCCTGAGGCCCCATACAAACACTGCTGCTGCTACCCTTAGAAGAGGGGCGCCCCCTGGGCTAACGCAGCCTGCTGCACTCAACAGCACAAGCAGCCACTCACTTCTTTGCTGCAGCAGCTGCTGCTGCTGCAGCTGCAGGAGCAGCAGCTTGCGAGGCAGCGCGAGCAAACCCCCCAGCAGCAGCAGGCGTCCCAGCAGGAGCGGCAACAGTACAAGCGGCAGCAGCAGCAACAGTAGCGTCTACACCCCTTCTTCAGCTTTGCTGCGTCCTTATAATATCTTTTCTCTAGAGAGGCCCCTGGGGCCTCACATCTTTTGTATCCCTTTGGGGGCCCCTGTCTTTTCTTTGCGTTTCCTCTCGGCTTCATCTGGGGGGCCCCCCTGGTTGTCTGATGCGGGGGGCTTCGCGTCCCCGGGAGGGGGGGGCCCCTCGGGGGGGCCCCCCGTCTTGCATGCAGGTGTACGTACACCCGAGTTATGCTGGCTCCTTTGCAATGAAGGTAAAGCAGAAGAGCTGGCGGCAAATCTGCTTACCCGAATATTAGATGCTTTGAGGGGCCCCAAGGGGCCCCTGCAGCTGAAGAAGAAAAGGGAGAAGCAACAGGAAGAGCTCCTAGATCCCCTGCACAGCACGTAATCAAAACCCTAAACCCTAAACCCTAAACCCTAGCCAATAGAACACATATGAATTCTGGTGAACGTCAAACCCTATAAAGCCCTTCCCCGTACAGTTAAACCCTAAGCCCTAAACACTAAACCTAAACCGTAACCCTAAACCCTAAAACCAACTCCTTTCTGAGTTTCAAGCCCTGAACTGAGGTTCTGTTGAGGGTTTAGGGTTTAGGGTTTAGGGTTTAGGGTTTTGTTCTATTGCAGGCACTGGGATGCCCTTAAAGCAGATCTTCACGAAGCATTTCACCTCCTCTTCAACAAAGACCCCTTCTTGCCCGACTCCCTCGCAGCCATGCGGTTCGACGTGCCAGGGGCCCCCTTGGGGGCCCCCATGAGGGCCCCCCAGGGGCCCCCTGGGGCCCCCAACACCCGCTGGGGCCTCCGAAGCCCTCTGGGAGAGGCCCCAGATGAAGAGAGGGATGGAGGGCCTCTTGTGGGGCCCCTTGGGGGGCCCCCTGTGGGGCCCCTTGGGGGGCCTCTTGTGGGGCCCCTTGTGGGGCCCCTTGGGGGGCCCCTTGGGGCCCCCCAACCCCCGCGGGAAGGGGTGTGCAGAAACCCTGAATTTATCTTTGGGGTTTGCAATCCTAGTTTGACCCCCTCAGCATCGCCTAGGGCTAGAGCTGTTGCTGTTAAGGCATTTCTTTCTGTTGCTGAGGAGTAGGGCCCCCCACACGCTGTCTCGCGCTACAGCAGCAGCAGCAGCAACAACAGCAGCAGCAACAGCAGCAGCAGAAACAGCACGAGACCCTTTAGGGGGCCCCCGGAGACCCCTCAAAGGTCTCCTGCGATGTTGCTGCTGGTTTAAAGAGGAGCTGCTTGGGGGTTTTCTTGTTTAGAGTAGTTATACTGAAGAGACAGAAAAGGAGACAGAAAGCAAGTGTCTCTGTGAAGACAGGCAGATACATCTTTTGCTTGTCTCCTTTGCCTGTCTGCTCATGGTTGTTGCTGCAGGTATTTCGCTCTGCAGCCGCGGAGTGCAGCAGCAGTTGATTTGAATGTGCTGCTCGATGTTGTGGGGAGTCTCTGCTTCCTGGAGCTGCTGCCGTTGCTGCTGCATCCCCAGCAGCAGCAGCAACGGCAGCAGCGGCGCGAGCAGCAGCAGCAGCAGCAGCAGCAGCAGGAGCAGGAGCAGGAGCAGGAGGTGGATGGCGAACAGCAGCGGCAGCGTTTCTTGCTGCTGCAGCAGCTGTCTCTGCGGCTGCGCCCCCCCTCTCTTGATGCCTTATTACGGTGTCTCTGCACCTCTCAGGGGTCTCCTCTGTTTGAAGCTCCTCGGATTTTTGCTGCATGCTGGGCAGCAGAAAATAAAAGCAGCGAGGTGAGAAGACACAACAGGACCCCACAGCTGCAGCAGCAACAGGAGCAGCATTATATTATATTTTATATTATATTATATTATATTATATTATATTATATTATATTATATTATATTATATTATATTA